AATGACCAAGCTTCTCAAATAGAGAGCGTGACATGTAACGCAATTCCAGTCACAGTGTATACCTTCCCATTTGGCGCACTGAGTTCCTTTTGATTCTCTCTTGGTCATCAATGCGGACTCCCGCAGCAGCCGAAGCAGATTACCAAACGAGAGCTTAAATTCTATTATTTTGAAATATTAAATATTCCCATAATTTACCTTGATCTACGAATTCTGTCATCTCTAGAACGCCTGAGCCCAGCTTTCCCTCTGCAGCTGATTCAATATCCATGTTTAGAGGAGAATCCTTATCAAAATGTACCGGTAAATTTCTGGTTCCGTCTTGGACCTCAACCTCCACGAAACTAGGTCTTTTATGATAAGCTTTGTCTCCGATCGCAAAATGCGAAGCCTTTGTATCAGAAATTTTCCTGGAGGGACTATATTTCGTCTTAGGCGCTGGTGGTAAAATAACCGAGTTGGGCCTTTCCCCTTCTTTAAAATGGAAATCTTGTTTTTCTAATTCATCTCTATCCGTCATATTTATGTGATTAAGTTTTCTGAGGCTTTGTTTTTCATTCGGGTGCGTGACATTTATCAACCTTGCGTGATTCAACGCGTTTATGATGTCGTTTTCCAGTTTCAAAAGTTCCTTCCGGCTGGCATTTCTCATAATCTGGAGCTGTGTTTGTTCGAGTGTATTTTCCAAATGTTTTGGTAACTGCTTTTTTTGCGTTTTTTGTTTAGTAGCTGGTTCCCCTTGTTTATGGTGTTCTTGTCGGTAATTGTCACTGTGCACCCTATGTTGATGCTTTTTGCTGTACTCAGTATGATGGAAATTAGTACCATACTGTTGTTGCGGTCTTTCGTTTTTGTTCGGTTTTGACAAATTCCACGACCTAGCAAAGCTTAATGCATTAATGATGTCCTCTTCTAGTCGCAACAGCTCTTTTTGGCTCGCATTTTGCATCAGTTGCAGCAGGTTTTCATCAGAGGTATTTCCCGCACTTATCCTTAAGTTATTATTCGTCGACCATGACTTTGTGTGATTCAATCGCGGGTGACTATTTATCAGAGGTGAGCCTTTGACGGAACCAAATCCCTTGCTCTTGATTATGTTGCTCCACCCTTTTTCCAACAGTCGCGTCTCGTTCTCCAAAAGAAGGTTGTGTTTCAAATGAGGTTCCTCTGTCTTCCACCCCTGCTCCTCACCAGTGCCTTTTGGGTGTGGCCTTTTCCTTTGGCGAATAAATTTCAATATTTTATGTAGGCTCTCTTCCATAATACGATGTCTCATTTTGACTTTAGCCTCACTAGTGAAGTTCTTGCCTAACCTTTGCTGTAGTTTGGAATATTCGGTGGAAGTTTCGTTGGAGGAAGAATTGAAACTGTTAAAAAACTTGATTAAGTCATCAAAATGTTTTTTGGCCGCAGGATTTATAGGAAAAGTAAAATTTCCCTTCAGTTTCGTGTTGTTAAGGGAAGTATCATTTCTCCCTTGGTGGACGTCGATCGGCCATGAGACATGTTTACCACGTGTGACATTATGATTAGCCACCAGAAATTTGTCCTTGGGTTTAATTTTAAGCAAATCAACGCCGGTTCCACTTTTTAAGTGTAAACTTGTGTTCCTTTTTACATTTGCCCAAACATTATTGGAATGTACTAGTTTGGGTTTCATGTGATGGTTGGAGTGAGTCTCGCTTTTTAAATTAACGTGTGGAGATTTGCCTTCTCCAGACAGATTTTTGTGAAACGAAACTTTTTTCGCTGTTGAGGGTAAGATTCCTATGCTGGCATTGTGAGCTTTACTTGCATGACCGTCTTTCGTGAGAAAATGACTTGTTTTAGTTTGCTTGTAAATATTTTTATGAGTTAAGCCATCAAAAACTTCAGGTTCCTCTTGAATATTTTCCACCTTTCTTGTAACGGGAAACATATTCTTGACGCTTAATAATCGTGATGGTGGCGAAACACTCTTGGGACTTCCTTTGATAACATGGATGTTTTCATTGTCAGTTACTGTCTTTTCAAACGAGGCGTCTTTAGGAAAATCAGTTGGTCGAACATTCTTAAGTGGAAGACTTATGGGCGTGCTATGTATAACTCCTTTGCTTGGAGAAAGCGTTCGAATAAGGCTCGAATTATTGTCCAGAACCTTGCTGATAATAGGCTTATGTAAAATAACGACGCGTTCATCTTGATTAATCCCATTCCTTGCCCCATCCATCAAATTTGCCTTGTTCGCTTTAACGATCCCTCCATGATTTCTTTGGTTCGCCGAGGCAATTGTCTGAAGTTGATTTCCGCGAAAGGGTATCCGGATGGGCCAGGAAAAAACAGAACTGTTAAACGGTCCATGTTTCCCAGGAATGGAAACACGCGAAATAATCCTGGACTTGTAGGAAGATGCATCAGCATTTGTAAACTTTTGTATCTTTTCAGTCACCTGCGCCTTTCCAGAAGAACTATGTAAAAATACTACTTTGGGCGTGAGATATTTGGATTTTGCGAAAGACAAAGTAGAATTCTTGTTTACAAAGGGAGATTTATTAAAATTGCCTTCTTGAGATTTATTAGGAAAATTTTCCTCGAAAATTTCAACGAGTGAGTCAGCCACTGGTTTGGCGGGTGTTGCTGGTCGCACCACAGCTTCATCGATCTCTTCGACTTTCTCATCTGAAGAAGCTTGCAACTGGATTTGTTTTCCCCTCAGAGCTACATTCGGTAAGCGACTGACAAAATCCCTTCTTCTATTAAATTTACCTGAGGAAATATTTGCTGTTGAGAATGAAACAAGGAACTTGTTGGCTTAGGAAAAAAACTAAATCTCAACTGATTGATAACTTGGATTTCCATGTGACAGACATTCAGAAAACTTCTGCCTGTATGAGCATGTCAAATGTTCTAACAAATGCGAAAAAATTATGAGAACCATTCCACATTCCAGTCGAATTTAACGCTTGACTAAAATACTGGCAGGAGGTTAGTTACATCTCATTGCCCTGTCTGAGTCATTTGTCGCTCAGTTAACCATGGGAGAGAACAGGTTAAGTGGCGTTAGACCAGCACCTAGACGGAGTAATGCTAGCTATGTCTGATAGAGAGCTGAAAAGTATCTCATGTTCAACAGTACATCTGAGTAGCGAGAGATTAGTAACCTTTCACATTACAGAGTAACAGTCAGTTTGCGCGACGAGTTATGGCCAAACTTTTGTAAAACGCCTACTTGAACCTGCACTTACACAGACTGACTTTTCAAAACCGTAACCAACTGAACGCATTTCCAATGATTGTTTGCTTTTTTGTTTTTTGTTTTTTTATTTGTCGATCTTAGATGAACAAACCATAACAAACCACCCCGTGGTACATATTTGTTACTTAAATCAGTTCAAATGCATCAAATACACGACCTCTACCATGCACCATACAGTAATTACCTTCATGTTTGCTATCGGCTTCTGAAATGTGCCCCTTTCCACAAAAAGTCATTCTTGCGTACAGCAGTGTCATTAAATACAACCAGACACTCGCCTCTATCTTTCCTCTCATTTTCGTGGTTCATCCTCTTCGTGTAAGCGTAGTAGAGAGTGATTTTTGATACTTCGCTTGGCTGACTTTCAAATCCTTAAAATGCTATGGATGTCAGGCTATGTGACAAGAACCAGCAGCTTTAATGAGCCCCTGGGACCGAAACCAACCAAACACATCGTGGATAATGGTATGGTAGTGTTTCAGTCAATTGGGCACAGCGATGCGTTTCATTGATTTCAGTCACCCGTTTCCCAAGGCTTTTATATCCATGTATGAAAAGTTACAAATGCCTTACTTTTACGATATTGCTTTGTAAAATTCGCTCAAGTTGGTTCCTTACTTAGAATTTTGGCGTTAAACCTCCGACAATCTGTCCCATCTTATAATACGCAAATATTACCGGGCGTGGGCCGAATACTTCTGATATGACGTAAACTACGTGATTTGTAAATGAATTGGAGCTCTTAGTAAATTATCTTGAGAATTTATGAAGTGTTTTAGCACAGGATTAAAGGAAATTTCCATATTCAATTTTAAAGTTTCGCAGAGGTAGTACCCAAAGGCAATTGAAGTGTAATCCAATGCGCTGTAACAGTAGTAGAGCAGTGGTCTGCTAACGTCAATCATTTGCTGAACCAAGATAAGTGCAAACAATTGATTATTGACTTCAAGAGAACCAAACACCAGTTTGACGCTGTAACCGTTAACTCTGGAGAACTTGGACTTGATTCCCAAGCAGAAATGTTATGGGTAACCATATCTAATTCAATGGTATTTTCACCATGCATTGCGAAGACCTAGAGTGTGTACAGAAACGCACGCTTTCCGTAATTGACCTTTCATATCATCATAGTTTAGCATCGTATAACATCAGATCTTTGAAAGACAGGCGCAAAAAACAGTGTTATAAACTCTAACACTGCGCGTAAACTCCATCGTCTATCGCTACCCAAGAGCGTTAGTAGATACAGTTTTAGAAACCAGCGCAAGTCAACGTTGTCAGAAATGCACACAAATCGTCACACGGACACATTTATTCTATCCATGTCCAATCGGTAGAACTTTTTCACGCAGTCTTTTTCTTTAAAGCTGTATTACATGGAATTGTTATTTTATAAATGTGTATATAACGTTAAATTTTTTTATTATTCATGCAATTCAGCCTTAGGAGGCTGCGAATTTGGATATCTTAATAAACTATCTATCTATTATCTATCTAAGTTTTGTCCCCCACTTGATTAGATCCCCACAAAATTTTATCATAAAATGCGTTAATATATGAGGAAATTGAAAACTAACTAAAGGTGAGCTTTTTATCCGGGCTTAGCACGAATCAACTTTCAAACAACTGGGTTCTAAAAAATACTTCAGCCAAAGATAACTGTGTATTGAGGTGAATCAGACATAAACTCATTTCAAAGGTTATCAACAACTTCTTTATTAACAAATATTTTTTATCAATGCGATTTATTAAGATCGACCTAATGTAGAGGTCTATTAAATCTACTAACACCTTTTTTTCGATCGGTAAAATGCAAGTGTTCATCACTTAAATCTGTGAAAAATACAAAGTAAACGTTAAAATGGAAAGATTCTTCACAGTTTCTCGCTGCGCTCATGATTTTGCTCTCCAATATCATCTAAAACGCCGTGACTACCTGTAAAACTCGACAATTTTTTGTGTAGTTTTAACAAGAGCTTCACTTGTGCAATTGCTTTTAAAAGAAATGGGGAAAGACTTCTCATGGTTGATAATATTGGTAATATAAAAGACTAAAATAATAACAATTAAATGATCAAATGAAAACGGTTCTGTTTCCTGTTTTTTCCCCTGTAACTTGTCAGATCTGTTTATTGTTTTTTCCGAGCAGCTCCTCATTTGCAGTTATTTCTCTGTATGTTAGTTCTCAGATCGTGTTATAAGTGATTGTTTCCATGTTGATAATTTTTCTACAGCTTCCTGCTTATCTTGAGACCGGTCATGAGTCATTGAAGGGCTAAAAAGGTGGCGCATTGCAACAGCATTGACAATGGAACTTAGTATGCATCGTGCAAACCAAACTTTGGTCGCAAATTACAAATCACCATTCAAATTAAAAACACTAGCTACTACAAATCTGATCTGATTATCTTGCATTGCCTAACCAGCGTTTATGATGAGATTTACTGTAATTTAATTGTCTATGTTTAAATCTGTTTTTCTTGTGCCTCTCGATCTCCTTTCGTGTAGGACGCTTAAATCTTGACGGAAGTTTACTTCTGACGTCAGTCTCACTTTCCTCTGTTGCTTCTTGTTCACTGTCTTGAACTTTATCATCATCGTTATCATCTTTATCGCTGACGTTAAGCTGAGAATTCATCAGCTTACTGATACGGATTCCATCGTCATCGTCATCTTCATCGTCATCGCTTCCTTTTTTCCTGACCTTCACCTTTGAACCTATTAATTTGGCTAAGTTTGTCCCATCTTCATCCTCCTCCTCCTCCTCATCATTATTATCTTTGCTTACGCCGACGCCATGTTTCGAACTCATCAGCTTGCTGATTCGGGATCCATCGTCATCATCATTGTTCTCGTCATCGTTCACCTGTTCCTCTTCTTCATCTTCTTCCTTGGCAACATGGTGTCGAGCTTAAAATGAAAAAAAATTATTATGTTGTTTGTTGGTTGAGAATTTTGTCGTTATTATGGTGTATATTGGTGGTACTTCAACTTACGTTGAAGTGTTGATATATTTTCAAAATCGTAAAAGAACATGACTTTACCTTGCATTTAAAGGTAAATGACTATCATTGAGGCCACATATGTTAACTGCTCTTAATGTATTTTTAACTCTTACAATAAGAAACTCGCTTAAAAAAGCACTTTTTTTCACAAAACAGTGGCGGGATATGTCTTCTAATCATAGCTGCGTATCATAAAATTTGTAAACTAACACAACAGCAAGATTCAACTTTCCTGTTATTGTTATTATACTCCGTCACTAAACACCCTTAAGTTCTTTAGAGAAGACTTTGCTATGGGTGTATTTACTGACCTTTACAGCCCTCCATACGTTGATTATACGAGTTGACGAACATTGCTTTACACGTGTGTTCTACCAAACAGCGTGCAGTGGGATCAGCTTTACAAACGGCTCCACTGCAAGGGTCATATCCACAAATGTACCTGGCAGGAACCTTGAATACCCCTGTTGGTAGACACCCAAACAACATGGAAAAATCGGCGTTATTTTTGGGATTATGTTGGATTTCTTAGACTATAGGTTATAGTTTCTTTTCAAGTAAGATTTGACGTATCACTCGGTGAAAGTCATT